TATGGAATATGACATAAAAAATTTTCAAAATTTACATCTGGTCATATCTCATGTAAAATTTCGGATGCAAAATTACATGGGGTATGATTTTTTTGGACGTAAATTTTCGATTGTAAAATTTCTCCAAATTTCTTTGTAAGTTCGATTGTGCCCCCTAACTTTTAATTTCTGCGTCCGCTCATGTGTACACTCTTTTCTCTTTATTTTGCTTTATAGAATTTAAACTAAACTATTCATCTTTCTCATATCTATCTCAGAACGCTAAAAGATTATAGAGAAGATTTTTATCACTATTATGATAGTGAAATAAAAAGAATTTTATCCATCAGAAAAATGGATATAGTATATTATCCCAATCCTAACTATATAAAAGAGCCAGTTTTTTTGCCACGTGTCAGATTCTCCTATCGTCAACCAAAATGACGTCGTTTAAGCCATTTGTTTTCATTACCAGCATTTCCTAGATTTCTCGGGCTTAAGCATCCAATTTCCGCCCTAATTGATCTAAATCTCTAACTGGTGCTATCAGCAGTTCTGGTCTCTATTGTTGTCTATCCGTCACTGCCTCAACGTTCACGCCTGTAACCGGCACTACCTCCGCCTCTGTAAGCGCTTTCTTCTCTCCGTGCACAACAGAGACACCGCATGTCTCCATGTGAGATGGAGGCACGAGCGGTGTCTCCATCTCGAGATGGAGACACGAGCAGTATCTCGTGTCTCCGTGCACAATACAGACCTTGTCTCCGTTGCGCACGGAGACACCGTGTCTCCCTATTCTCCATGTCACGGAGGTACCGTGTCTCCCAGTTCTCCGTGTCACGGAGGTGCCGTGTCTCCGTGATAGCAATGGCTGATCATCTTCTCGAATGTGTGCTATGTTTGTTTGCAACACATGATTCTCATTCACGGCATTCTACTAACTTAAGAACTCATGGTACTTCATCTCTTTCATCTTCAAAATCACAGAAAACAAACATAGCACACATTCAATTGCACAGACTTGATTCCCAGTAATTTGAAACACGAGCTTCCATTCACAAAGATTTTGGATGGTTTAAAAACCATCCAATTTAAACCATTCAAAATCTTGTAATTTTGATTGAAGTTTTCAACTTATTAGTATATCAAAAATGAATGAAAAAAAGAAAAAAATTGGCCGAGAGAACTCTACGTGCAGCACGGAGAGTTCGAAACAACATAGAGAGTTTCAAACAGGGCCGGATCTGAGGAGAGGCCCAAGAGGCCTCCGCCTCAGGGCCAGATTTTTAGGGGCTCTTTTTTTTTTTATTTAGTGCTTGTTTAGTAAAGATTAAAATCCAATTAAAATTGAAAATATAGTCGTTATTAGGTTTCACTCGTCTAATAAAAGTCAACAATAACGACTAATTTTTCAATTTTAATCCGATTTTAATATCTACCGAACACCCCCTTAATAACCTAAACCTTCAACAGTTGAGCCTTCCGGCCTTTCGTTCACTTACCTCCAGTTGAGAGACGAGTCCAGACAGAAGCAACGACAGTGGAAACTGGAAGTTCCGAGGTCTGGGCTGATTTGGTGGCCATGAATTTCCACGTGAATTTCTATTCTGAATTTGTATATCTAGCATTGGTTCTTCTTGCCAAAGCTCGGAGGTCCATTTGTGATCCGATTAAAGTGAAATTTTAGTATGTTGTTCCTGTCGAAGAGTGCTACTTTTTTACTGGA